AGCAGGTAGCCCCAGGTTGAGTTCGGCGCTGTCTAGAAGCGAGGCCCAGCATGGTCTGGATAAGAATCAAAAGTTCAGCATTTTACTACTTTATTTTTCTAACTTATTCCTAAGATTTTGTACTTGGATACCTTTGTACCTAAGATGGTGCCATAAGTGGCAACTTTGTAAACTTTTCATTGCACTCGTGAGTACATGTGACAATAAACCTAATTCTAATTCTAAATCCGATTTGCAAATTTGAGTCTGGCTGAACTGACAATGTTTGTCACTTACTAGGTGAAAAAATTTTCATTACATTTAATCAATTGGTCAAAACTACAGCTTCTATCACTCCAGTAAATTCAATATGCCTTTAATTTAAATGATCTGATCATTCAGGACTAAAACACAAATTATTATTTTTGCTACATTACTTAAATTCTTAATTCAGAGTTTGGCATAATTGCATTCTCCATTTCAAAACCAGCTTTCAAGTAACAGGAGCAAACCGTAGTTTATCTTGATGACCATCCACCGCAATCAATTTATGCTCTAGTAAGGCATAACACTAATACTAAATTGTGTGTTTGTGTGTGACTGTTCAAATAAATGGTTTATTATGTGAAGTATTTGCTTCGATGTAAACCTACTTCATGGTAGAAAGTGCAATTAAAAACAGCAATTTGTATTTAAATTATAGTGACATTTAGTACTGTTGGGAGGTCACAACAGTGAGAGTAAACTGAATCTATTGGAATGAAAGCAAAGTTGAAATGTGGAATCTCCATTTAAGATAACCGTGGAGCTGCATTTATTGTAAGAATAATGGAGAGGCAAACCCACTCACTACTATTGATGTGCAAATCAGGTAACAATTTCATGTCAGCTCAGATTTTCATTGAGTTTATGGCATAGTTCAGCACAGAATGAAACCATTTGTTTCATTCAGTTGCAGACACAGGTACAGTGTAGTTATTTCCAGTTAGTTTCATTTCCCCATATCCCTGCAATATTGTTCTCCTTCATCAGCGTTATTTCCTTTTATTCAGGTTCTGTCTGTAAACTACTACTGTTCATTGTTCTCCAGTCCTCAGCACTCGCTGCATGAAACAGATGCATAATTGTATTCAAATCCAAAATTATTTCTCCAGGTTGTACACAAATAATGCTGCTCCATAAATGCACAAGATGTGACAACTCATCATCTGGCTATCTCATGCAAATATGAATGTCATGATGTTCTATTTAAATTGTTGGTTTGGATGAAAATTGTTGCAAAAAAGACTGAGTATCATTCCTAATGGTGTGATTAGTCTTAATTATTACTAGTAGCTCCTCCTGCACTGAAAGATAACATTTGCAACTGTTGAATGTCATTCCTTAGATTTTAATAGCTGTCAGAAATGGAAAAGAAAATTGTTTATATTCTCTCCTTCTATTTTGTTTCTTTCCCTCTGCTTAGTTTCCTGTATGTACCTCATTTAACGTTAAAGTCAGCATTCTAATTTTATACTTTCTGGTTCAGGCTGTGTGGCACACAAGAAATTGCTGTCTGTTTGCTGGAGTGCGCTTGTTCCCTCATTCAGTGGTCTGTGATGCCCATCATGCAAGTCACATGGTTTTGAGATCCAAATTGATGTGCAAAAGGTCATATGTTACCACCTACAGTAACTTGAAGTTTTTATTCTGTCCTAAAATATATTGAAACTTAATAGATGGAAAATCATTACATACTGGTTGCACCTGATCTCGATTTTGAAATGTAGGTAAGAGATGCTGTTCAGATGACTTTAAGATCAGGGCATTATTGAAGTACTTGGAACTTTACACATGTCATGGTGTTTATTTGTAAAGCTTGTTGATGAGGTGGTATTATTCTGATTACAGAATGATTACTCAAAATTCCAAAATTTGGCCAATAAAATGACCACTGACGTGTGCATATTATCATGACACTGCCTTCATTACCAGGGTGCATTGCCCACGTCCAGATACGTCTGTTAAGTTGTTAAAAAGAGAGCATTTTGTAGGCAATGAAATAATTACTTTACGAAACACACAGCAGAAACCCATTAATCTGACAGATTACTCGCGCACAAGCAGCCCATGGTGTGAACCCAGGCCCTTTCTGGTCAGTATTTGGAGCACTTGGACAGGGGAAGCAGTCTGAACAGTTCAAGTCCAACCCAATGAGATATTTCATCTCACAAATCAACCTAGTAAGAACTTTTTTTATAGTTCTGAAATTTGTATTGAAATATTTTAACTATTGTTACAGCAGGAAATGTCTACTCATTTCAGAGAGCTGGCACTCGGGTTGGACTTTGGCCTTAACTGTGATTACAGCGACAGCACCATATTGTTCCAGGCAGCTGCGATTCCGTTGCTAAAATGTTTGTTTGTGCAGATGGGCTATTGCTGCACCACTTAATGTGGTCATTCACAATAAGCGTCACCTTCTAGTTTTCTAGGTATAATCACAGTTTATAAACTTCTGAACAGTCGGGGTTTTGCATAGAACCTCGTTTTGTGTGTGTAGCTAATAACATTGAAACTTAAATCCATGTAACTTATTTTTCAATTAATAGCTGTTTCTGTGCCATGGAGGGGAAACAAATTAATAAAATGTATGTTTTACAAAAAGTTAGAAATACTTGACAGATCGTGTCAGATCGGTTTAGTGAGCTTTTTGATGAATGGTCATTGACTTGAAACACTAACCCTTGCCTCTCTGCAGGTGTTATTTGACATGCTGTATATCTTGATCCATTTCAATGTTCTAATATCTGCAGTATTTTGCTCTTGTATTGATAAAATGTATGCTTGGCAAAAACCCTGTAGTAGTCAATCATTTGAGCTCCTCCATGCCATTGACTAACTTAGTAGAAAAAGTCTTCATCTGGGATTTCAGTGGGCATTTCTGTCTTCTGCCCCAGTGTCAGAAATTCCAGAAAAATTATATAAAGACAATTCACACTGTTTTTCAAATTACACCGAGATCACAAGACTCCTCCACTAATTCACCCCGTTAATATTCTGCTGCTGAGTATCTTAATACACAATCATACTAGCTGTTTATGTAATTTTTATGATATTCACACTTTCACTTGTACATTTAATGGTGGTATGGTCAACAGTGAAGATCAATTGGGCCAATGGGCTGAGGAGTGCCAGATGGAGTTTAATTTGGATAAATGCAAAGTATTGCATTTTGGTTAAACAAGTAAGGGCAGGACTTGTACAGTTAATGGAAGGGCCCTGAGTAGTGTGTTTTCAAACAGAGACCTAGGGATTCAGGTACATACTTCTTTGGAAGTTGCATCTCAAGTCGACAGGGTGGTTAAGAAGGCATTTGGCATGCTTGCATTCGTTGCGCAGCCCATTGTGTGTCGGAATTGGGATGTCATATTGGGGTTGTTCAGGACTTTGGTGAGGCTTTTACTTTCGGAGTACTGTGTAAAGTTCTGGTTGCCCTGCTCTAGGAAGGATATTATTAAATTGGAGAGAGTTCAGAAAAGATTTAGCAGGATGTAACCGGGACTGGAGTGTTTGAGTTATAAGGATAGGGTGGATACTCCAGGACTCTTTTCACTGGATCGTACAGGTTGAGGGGTGACCCATTAGAGGTTTATAAAATCATGAGGGGCATACATGAGGTGAATAGCAAAGGTCTTTTCCCTAGGGTGGGGGAGTTCAAAACTAGAGGGGCATATTTTTAAAGTGACAGGAGAAAGATTTAGAAGGTACCTGAGAGACGAATTTTTCTCACACAGGGTAGTTTGCATGTGGAATAACCTGCCAGGTGAAGTGTTAAATGCAGGTACAGTTACAACATTTAACAAACATTTGGATAGGTTCATAAATAGGAAAGTTTAGAGGAATGTGGGCTAAATGCAGGCAAATGGGACTAGTTTAGTTTGGGAAACTTTGTCGATATGGACAAGTTGGACTGAAGGGTCGGTTGCCATGCTGTATGACTTTACAACAACAAATGTGTTTACAATATTGAAGACGAATTAAAACCATGCTGTTTAAATCTGCAGTTTAAAGATAATCCAGTCACCTTAAATTCAGCTAGTATTATTTAAAGATTATGAGGAAGGTATCTAAGAGTCCTGATTAACTCATCTCCCAGCTGTACTGTATCTTCTTTTCCTTTTTTTAGAAGTAATGTCAACTGGAAACTATTGCATTAGATCAAAGAGATTTGTTGTTCATGACATTTTCTCAGATGGGTGTTGAAATTTTTGAGATTGAAAGGGGCAGGTAAGATCACAATGGCAGTAGAGCAGACGTCTAAGTGATCAAATATCAAAACTTCACCCTCTTCTAAACAAAGTTCTATTCATGGTATAAATGATTTGAACCATGGAATGATTGTTAAGCAAAAACAGAGGAAATCTCTTATTTTATTTTTATATAAATATTTAATATTTAAGTAGAACTGAAAGCTTATAAGGGAATGGGAATTAGCCATACAGTATTTTAATCCAGACAATGTGCCATTTAAATCTGTTCCAAATTATTTGTTGGATAACTATTGCTTTGATGACAGTTTAATACATTGGGCACTTGGCCACCCCTCAGAGTAGATTTTCAACTATAGGTGGTACTTTTGGATTTCAGTTAATCCCATCAATTAATGTGTGCGATTCCTACCAAATCATACAGCACATTCAACTTTTGTCGTCCTGTAAATAATAAAAGTTTGAGGTGATAAAAATATTGTTAGCTTGTTTGTAGTGCAAATAGTTGGTTCTACTGTATTTTGCAATTCTAGCTTGTCTGTGCATACATTGTATGCTTCTTGCTAAATATGAAAGAAGCATTGTTGTGACTGCACCTTTTGTTTTTTTTTAAATATAGCTTTCAGTACTTTGCAACATTGTGTTCAATATCAATTTCTTTTCGTATACCTGTTCACAAAGTATCCTGAACCTTGCTTGAACTTATTTTGTAAGATTGACATTTTGGGTATTAGTGCTTTTCGTTTACAGATAGTTCTTTGTATTTTGCAGATTAAGGTGCCATATTGTAGAAAGTCATAAGGCTAGTGCCAAAGAGAATTCCTTTAAAGGATTTGCGGTTAGTTCCAGCCAAGAGGATTTGCATTCGAAGGTAGGTAAGCAATTGCTTTGAACTAGTCCTTTGCATAAAATAGTGTTAGTTTAATGCTTAATTCTGTATATATGAAAGTGATCTAAGACTTTTCACATTTTCTACCACAAGCTGAGTTCACTTTTTGTAAATGACCAATTTCTGCTAATATAACTGCAAAGGTTCAGTCTTTACCAATTTGTGATCTTGACATTTGCTTTTCCACTCATGCTGTTGTTCATATTCTGCCATGCGTACGAATTGCAGTATACCATTCCTCCTCATGTTTGTTTACTTACAATTTAGTCATTACCTAATTGATATCTTAACTCTATTGGCTTGTTTTGGCTCTGTAATTTAAGGTAAGGGGCAGAAGATTTAGAGGAGATAGGAGGAGGAACTTTTTCACCCAGAGGGTGGTGGGAAGCTGGAACTCGCTGCTATGAGGGTGGTAGAGTAAGAAACCCTCATAACATTCAAGTAGTATTTAGATGTGCACTTGTGATGCCAAAGCATACAGGGCTTTGGGGCAAGTGCTGGAAAATGGATTAGAATAGTTGGATTGTTTTTAACTGGCATGGATGTGATGAGCCGAAGGGCTTTTTAGTTCTCTGGCTATGACTAATTCTTAAATTTTTGTTTAGGAAGGAAATTATCAATCTCAATTTTAACACTTTCAATTGAACTAGCCTCCACACTTTTTGAGAGAGTTTTCCAGATTTCCACAACACTGGTTGAAGGGATGTTACCTAAAATCATTTTGAACATTCTAGTTTGAATTTGAGAGTTACACCTATTGTTCTGGACTATGTCCCAGAGGAAACAATTTCTTACTATCTACCCAATCAAATGCATTACCATCTTAACCACTTCAATTAAATCGGACTTTAATCCTCTTAATTCAAGGAAGTACAAGCCTAATCTTTGCAAACTGATCTCATAAGTTAACTGTTCTGGCCTTGGTATCAACCTGGTGAATATGTTATCCCCACTGAAGCCAGCATATCCTTTCCAAGGCCTAATGCTAAAAACTGAATACAGTATGCCTAATTGGGTCAAATTTTGTTCATTCTAATGAGAATTGTAACGAGAACGGAAGTATTCTAGTGGTGGAAATCATACATATTACAATGTAAGACAGTTATACTTGGAGGTCAATCATTGCAGCAGTTCATCAGGGTCAAATCCTATGCCCAGCCATCTTCAGTTATTTCATCAATGGCTTTCTCTCCACCATGAGTTGAGAAGTGGTGACGTTTATTGATTACATAATGTTCATCCCATTCACAATGGCTCTGATATCGTAACAGTCCGTGTCCTTATGCAACAAAGCCTTGGCAATGGTCAGACTTGGACAAAAGATAGTGATGAATATCCTTTGGGTTGTAGAGAGAATCTAACAGTTTCCTTGTAACATTCAATTGCATTACTATTACTATTACTGCACCCCAGGGCCTACCATTGTTCAGAAACTGGATCAGCCGTATAGACACTAACCGCCAGAGCAAATCAGAAGCTGGGAATTTTATGACACATAACTTTCTTTCTGACTTAAAAGCCTGTCCACCATCTTAAAGGCACAAGTCAGGAGTGTGATGGAAGACTCCTCACTTGTCTGGATGGGTGCAGCTCCGACAACAGTCAAGAAGCTTGACACCATCCAATGCAAAGCGTTGTCATTCTATACGCCTTCAGCATTCACCACTCCACCACTGAAGCACATTAGCAGCAATACGTATCATCTGTAAGACGCAATGCAGTAACTCTTTGTACGTGGAATATCATGTCTTATTAACTTGCTTGAGTTTTTTGAAGGAATAATGAAGAGGATCTTTGAGCGCAGAGCAGTGGACATGATCCATATGGACGTCAGAAAGGCATTTAACAACTTTCCTCATGGTAGAGAGGTTAGCAAGGTTAGATCAAATGGAATAGAGGGAGAACTGGCCATTTGGATACAGAACTGGCTCGAAGGTAGGAGACAGAGGGTGGTGGTGGAGGGTTGCTTTTCAGATTGGAGGCCTGTGACCAGTGGTGTGCCACAAGGATTGGTGCTGGGTCCACTGCTTTTCGTCAATTAAATAAGTGATTTGGATGTGAAAATAGTATATATTGTTAATATGGTTGCAGATGACACCAAAATTGGAGGTGTAGTGGACAGCAAAGAAGGATGCCTCTGGGTACAACAGGACCTTGATCAGATGGGCAGTTGGGCTGAGGAGTGGCAGATGGAGTTTAATTTAGATAAATGTGAGGTGCTGTATTTTGGAAAGGCACATCAGGGCGGGACTTATACACTTCATTGTAAGGTCCTGGGGAGTGTTGCTGAACAAAGAGACCTTGGAGTGCAGGTTCATAGTTCCTTGAAAGTGGAGTCGCTGGTAGACCGGATAGTGAAGAAGGCATTTGGTATGCTTGCCTTTATTGGTCAGTGCATTGAGTATAGGAGTTGGGACGCCATGTTGCAGCTGTACAGGACATTGGTTCAGCCATTTTTGGAATACTGTATGCAGTTCTGGTCTCTCTGCTATGGGAACGATGTTGTGAAACTTGACAGGGTGCAGAAAAGATCGACAAGTATGCTGCCAGGATTGGAGGGTTTGAGCTATAGGGAAAGGCTGAATAGGCTGGGGCTATTTTCCCTGGAGCGTCAGAGGCTGAAGGGTGACCTTATAGAGGTCTTTAAAATCATGAGGGGCATGGATAGGGTAAATAGACAAGGTCTTTTCCCCAGAGTGGGGGAGTCCAAAACTAGAGGGCATAGATTTAAAGTAAGAGGGGAAAGATTTAAAAGGGACCTAAGGGGCAATTTTCATGAGGGAGGTGGTGCATGTATAGAATGGGCTGCCAGAGGAATTGGAGGAGGCTGGTACAATTACAACATTTAAAAGACATGTGGAAGGATATATGAATCGGAAGAGTTTAGAAAGATATAGGCCAAATGCTGGTAAATGGGACTAGACTACTTTAGGATATCTGGTTGGCACAGATGAGTTGGACCAAAGGGTATGTTTCCATGTTCTACAGCTCTATGACTCTATAAACTCGCTAAGGCCCTTCCTCAGCACCCTTTAGACCTGGAACCTCTACCCCTAGAAGGTCAAGGGCATCAGATACGTGGAAGCATCACCACCTGCAAGTTCCCGTTCAAGCTGCACACCATACTGATTAAGAACCATGTGACCAATCCCTCATCATCACTGGACCAAAATTCTGGAATTCCCTCTTTAACAGCTGTTGGTCTCTGTGCTCGATATGAATTGTGGCAGTTCTCTAAGGCAACCCAGCACCATCATCTTTAGTGCACTTTAGGCTGAGCAGCGAACGTGTGCCAGACCAGGGGGGATCCATATTCTGTGAAAGAATTTAAAAAAAACTGAAATGCATAAGCTGCTGAATATTTCTAATGTTTGTTTAGAGCATTTCTCTTTCTTTCCATCTATGACGAAACTCTGTTTAGTTTGTGCAAGGGCACTGACCAAGGACTAATGTATTTTACATCATTCTTTCTGAACTTTAATCTCTGATGAAAGCTTGGGTCAGTCTATATATTAGTAGACTTAATTCCTGGTTCTAATTTCTATCTTTAATATCCAGGCCTTTTTGCCAAAGAAAGCAAGTTGCATGCATCTTGTAATTAAAGATTCGCATTGACTCTATCCCTCTTTTTCATTGTCCTACAAAGCATATGATTTAATAGATATTTGGGCATATTGCAGATGGTGTGATTGGGTACTAATAACAATGTTGAAAGTGCACAATAGGACACAGATCAACAGCTGAAGAGAATACAGATCAGTAGTTTGAACGGTGACCCTTCCTCTTTTATGATTGAACCATAATAATTTGATTTTAATTTTCAAGAGAATGCTACTATAGTTTATATTGCAAAATTAAAACCGGTGCATATGCCTTGAGGTGTAAATATTGTTTTAAATTGTTATCTGGGTGACATTGGTACTCTATCTTTTTAATTATTTGTTTACAGTGAGTAATTTCAAGAAAAATTTACTGGGTCCACAAATATGAAACAGGCAAAAAATTGAACAAAAAGAGTGCATGTGCACATTTTAAAAGATATTTTGCCAGCTGCTAGGTATCATCTTACTAGTTTTGATCCCTGGATAACAACAGTCATGTTTACATTTATGCTACAGTGTTGTTCTGCTGTTAAGGAGCTGATATTGTAGAAAACCTGAAGCTTAACATCTGGGACCCTACCAGGGAAAGCTGTTACCAGCTATGTTAATGCGAAGCAAGATTTGAAGTGACAGATCTTCAACCCTCCAATACCAAAGTTACATTCTGCTCTTATCTCTTATCTCTTATACTAGACAGTGGCTTCCCAATTTTTTTCCACTTTGATTCCATTTTAACACTTGAAAATTATCATAACCTCTCTGCAAAAATGGTGGTGGGGAGAAAGCCTGTGAGAACAGAGCTGGAAGCAGGGGAGATGAGACCAGTGAGATCGGGGAAGGGTAGGGAAATGTGCAGAACTCCATGTTGGCCACAGCTATCTTGGAGCTTACAAAAGGCAAATGGAGCCAGGATAATGTCGCCTGACTCATCCAATGTGAACCATTGTACAGTTTCATCCAATACACGGACTGGTCTATAATGCAGTTTGCTAAGTAGTGGAATAAATTTATGCGTATTTCTCTACAGTTTAGGTGGTTGCAGACACTTACTGATCTGCTTTGATGGAACGTGTGATATTTTTGCTTGCAGAATAGAAGTAAAATTCTATTTATTGAAGGATGAAGTAAAGCATTTGAGGTGAATTGATCAGTTGATATTTATTAGCAGCTGATCAGTCATGCCATGAGAACTTTTTTTGCCTTTCAACCATACGTGCATGGAAAGAAACTTAGTCAACATAATTGTGCCTTTTTAGATTTATTTTCCCTGCTTGTAATTTTAAACTTCTGATCATCATAGTTTTTATTTTTCCACTGTTTTACAGTTCTTTTCATGATAGAACTTAGCATTTTATAAAGTTGCTTATGCAATATTGTGATAAGTAAGGAAGAAATATAACCTGTTAACAGGTTAAACATTGCAGTGCAAAGGGTAGGGATTAATTATTATAGTTTACATGGATAGGAGCAGTAGGAAGAAATTATTGGATTAATTTTAAAATTTTGTCTGTTTATTGTTCTGTAGTTACAAAATATTAGAAACAGAATGTAATTTCCATAGGAATCAACATTTAAACTGGAGTTAAAACTGGTAGGGACTTGTTTAGCAGAAAGAAAATTATATCTATTTTGCCTAAGTTGAAATATAGTACTTTAAATGATTAAATTTCTGTATTAGTAAATGAAATACCAGTTGAAATAAATTTTAATACACCCGTTAACAAAAATGTAAAGTTCTGTTTACAGGAGGCTGTAGTGAACACTGAGAAACTAGGGGTCTGCCACCGCCTCTGACTTCAACCAGACCACTTCTTGGTGGGATTGCTACTCTACTTACTAGCAAATGTCAGCCATGTTATGACTTCAGTATTGTACTACAATGGGATGTGATTTTGTTTTGAATGCTAAAATCCCCATTTTAACCATCTCCCCATGGACCTTGAGAGGGCTGGCCCCACAGAATCTGTACCATCCCATGTGTCACATGTAACTGTGAAAATTATATAATTCCCACATTTGTATGTCTATATTGGTGGCTAGAAAGTTGTTGCCTGAATTGATTCAGTTCTCACCTAGAATACTTTTATCCGTATCCCAGGTTACAGAGTTTCAGGGCTCAACTCTTGTGACTAAACTATCATAAAAACCATTACCAAGCTAAAACTTGCAAATTTAATCAACTTTCAACCAATTTCACTGTTTGCCCAATGACTACGTGCCATGTATTCTTTTCTAATAATTGTATGTGCAGAATTTAAGTTTTTTTTGTCAACGTGTTACATTGATATTGCACCTTTAACATAAAATGCCAAGGTGTTTCCGAGGAGTGTTACCAAATAAAATTTGACACAGCCACATCGGGAATGGCTAAGCATAAGATGACTCCATGAAGTAAGGAGAGAAATTGTGAAGATTGGTGAGGGAATTTCATAACTTGGGCCCTGGGAAGCTAAAGGGACATTCAGCAGTGGCTGAGGGAATGAAATCTAGAATAAGCAAAAGATCAGAATTGGAGCAACTTGGAGGGTGATAGGGCTGAGGCAGTTAAAAATTGGCTTGGACGAGAAGATGGAGAGATTTGATAATAAAAATGAAAATTTTCTTATCAAGTTATTATTGGACCAGTGGAAATTAGTGAGCACAGGGTTGTTGAGAGTTGAGATAAGGGTAGCAGAGATTTTTGAAAGAGCTCAAGTCAGAGTCCAAGTTGCAAGTCTGTATGTGACAATTCGGGGGCAGTGGAAAGGTCAAGAGGTAGAGCTGGATGTCATCGTACAAAGGAAACGTGATATGCATTAACTTGATGTTGAGAAGTAAGGATCTAAGGATTGATCTTTGGCAGTCTCAGAGGTAATGCTGTGAGATGAGGAAGAGATTTTCTGGCTAGAAATTCACAGTTAGAAACAAAACCAGGCAAGTGCTACCCCACCAGGGTAGATTAAGTGAGGTATTACAGGGGAATAGAATTGTCACCTGTTCCAAAGACTGGAGATTTGTTGAGCAAGAGGAGGAGAGATAATTTGCCACAGTCTGCGACTTTGGAAACTATTTCACTGCTGTGGAGTTATGGGGAAAATGGGCACAGATTTGGAAGGTGACAACAGGATGAAGTACTTTAGGAAGGAAAATGAGATTAGAGTTGCTGGTTTGCCTGGCCAGACGGGCAAGGCTGTGTGTTTTAAGGGAGGGTGCTGGTGGAACCCAGCCTGTGCCATCTAGTGCCATATTACTAATGTTCTGATACATATAAGTGTTTGTTTATAATGATTGATCTAATACTTTCTTTAACAATTCCATTCAACGAAACTTGAAATCACTGCTCAGTAGTTTTTGATACTTGTAGTTTAAACGAGCATGCTTTGAAACCATCATAAACTATTATGACCAATCTAGAATATCTATCAGTGTCAAACATGATTATCTTTCCCAGTTCCTTAAGCACTGTAGAATAGATTGAATCTGATTTTGCAGTCTTAAACCCTGATCAGTGGCAAACAATGTCAAATGTGATCTGCTCACTTTGCTTGAATGCCAGTTCTGATGAGAATAAATTTCAATATTGTTTTCAGAAGTCAAGACATACAAAAATTGATCTTAATCAGCTATTCATCCATTTTGTATAAGAAACATACCAATATCCTTTTTTCTACACAGAACCTTGTCAATGTAGCCCCAGATTCTTTGTGCAGTAGAAACATAAAGGGAAATATATATTTTATGTCATAATTAAAATGGTCAGAAATCACACAACAGCAGGTTATAGTCCAACAGGTTTATTTGAAAACACAAGCTTTTGGAGCCTTAGTCCTCGTTCAGGTGTTAGAAGGAGTGAAGCTCGAAAGCTTGTGTTTTCAAATAAACCTGTTGGACTATAACCTGGTGTCGTGTGATTTCTGACCTTGTCCACCCCAGTCCAACACCGGCATCTCCACATCGTAACTAGAATGGAGTGTTCAGAAGTCATCCCATGTATAAAGTAATGATAAAGTTACCATAGTCCCAGAGGAGCATAGCGCTGCTGTCTCATTTGTGACTAACTGATGGTGGTTTCACCTGAGGGTCACCATGCCTCGGGCAAAGGGTGAGATTGCAAAGGACCTTCATACTAACCTCAGCTGCTGCAGTAAATGAACCCGTGCAGTTGGCATCACTGCACCACAAACCAACCATCCAGTCAACTGAACTTAGTTGACCCTCTTATAACATTTAGAAACTGTTACTCAAGGTGCACTTTTGACCAAACCTTCAGTTATACCTCAAATTCCCCTTCGTGCTCTGTTTTCCTTTATTGGATGTGTTTTGCGATCATTCTTTACCTTTGACAACACTGCGTAAGTGTAAATGGTTTTGCATCCTTTCAAAAATTAGGGATATGTTTTGCTTTTTTTTAATGTAACCTTCAAACACGCTTTACGGTCGGTTTCAGGGTAAACTGCTTTCTACTCTAATGTGTTTTTGTCTTAACCTCCGAGAAAACACCTATCTACATTCTAGCTGTGTATACACACTACTGACAAAGATTGCCAATATAGGGTTGTTTGGTGCAGTGTTCTCAAGGCACCAGAAGCTAAGTTTAGACTTGATAAACTAGTTTAATGTTTACCACACATTCCTGGTGTAGTGGTATTATGTAGCCTATTGCAATTGTTTCATTAAAATATTCAGACTTTTGTTTGAGGAAGCACCAGATTTGTTGAAAGTTCCATTGATGATTGAGTGAACTTATAGCTTGTATGCTGATGCATTATGAGTGACCTTGTTAGTGGTTTTGTGTTCAAATTGTAATAATCTACACCTTGGTCAAATGTTGGTATTTTAACTTTGATTCTGAATTTTTGTTTTAACAGATGACTAAATTAATGGCATCCAACAGGCGACTGGAGGAGCAAATTAACCGTTGCATCTGGTTTCAGCAACTATTAACTGCCTTGATTACATTGTTAGTGGCTGTTATCAGTCTATCCCTATATGTCCGTTCCCCAGACAAGGATATACAGTAACTAATCAAGTTTATTGATCCACACAAGACCTTTGTAAACCAAAGTCACTGATTTTCTTTTTGTTTTGCTTTCAAGTTGCCAATATTTCATATATTTAAGGTGGCTTGCTGACCAACTTTTGTTTATTATAACTGCTGTTTTTTAAACAATTTGATACGGTTTGTACATTAATTTTCATCTCGAGGAAAGATCCTGTGTAATGATGACCATTTTGATGAGTCATGAAAAATTGTGTAATTTGAAGTCAGTTTGTAATATGTCTTGGTGCTACTAATAGACATAACCAAAATGATTAATTGACTGTTCACCCTAAGAATATTTGGGTAGGATTCTGGTGTTTGTTCCATAAACCAACTTCCATGTCAAATATGGTATCTGCAAATACTTGCAACGTGTTATGAAGAAAGATATTTCTGGTAGTTCCTTCACTTATGTGCTAGATACTGAAGTTGTAAGAAAACATTGGACCTTCTGGTAAATTTAGATTCTGGAGAGAACAGAGGTTGTTCCTATTAAGACGCAATGGTGATGGCTATTGATGCATCTATTTAATCAAAAAGATATTAGGAAATAATGTAATTTACTAAATAATTGGTATTGAGCCTGTTTGGCAGCCTTATGAGTTTTGTCACTGTGAATACAGTTATTAAAAGAAATGAAGTCTCCCAGATTTACTACAAGATTGTTTCAGCAAACAACATTCTAGCAGCATTTAATTTAGTACACTAACAATAGATTTTAGATTTGTGTAAACATAGGAAAGTTTAACATGCTGGATGACTTTAAACTGTTGTAAATTATCATGTTTTCTTTTGTTTTCCATTTTGGAAGATAATTTTTCTTGATGTAGGTTTAATTCTGTGCACCAAATCAAAGATCCTGTGCCCAGAGCCATTTATTTGAATTCACCAGTTCACTTAGTTGAGCTTATTTCCTTCTGGAATAAGCACAAGAAGAACCATGTGTGCCCAAACTGATACAAGGGAGCCTTTGAAGCTCCAGGTAACTCCATCTTGTTTGTGCTTAATGTGCGCCTTTCCTTTGAATTTTTGTTGATCTGGAATTTGGATTTCCAGTGCTTGGTGGTTTTGTGCCTACAGACTCGAGACTTTAGATTCTTCTATCACTGAAGAAATGAGGTGCCCCAACAAGGTTAACTGATTGCACTAACTACAATATCATGTCCTGCAGTCTGGTTTCATAGAGCAACCTGGCTCCTGTTCAGAATTTTGTGCCACGGACAATCCTTTACTTGATGGAACTGGTCAGGTAGTGGCAATAGATTACTTAATACAAAATGTTAGTGATAAAACTGAAGGTTGTATTTGCCATGAAGACTTCATTTGAAATCCATTTAGTGCCAAGTGCAGTAAAGGATACTTGTATGTTAGTAAATGCATACTGCAAACATCCAACCAGGTATATCTATCTACTTAATGAATGCAATACTGCAAATGCTTCATTGATATACTTGTAATTTCAAAGGGTAGCAGATCAAAATATAGTGCATTTTTAAGTTTCAAACAGCATTGCACTGGAGATAAGTTAACTAAAGTATAAAATGTGAAGTTAATCACTTCAGTAAGCAAGCAAGAGCCTGACTGAATTGTAGTGATAGCAATGTGGCAGTATTCACTTTACTTTTTTTCCAGATATTCTGTTTCAAGTCAAAATATTATGTAGCAATGGAGCTGAAAATAATCCATCGTGATTAATCAGCTCGTTATTTGGGATTCATAGTTTAATGCCAACAGATATAAAAGTCAAACCACTTTTTAAAGCTGTACTTGATTTAAAACTTCCAGAGTGAATTGTACAATAATTTGTAGAATGTTAGTGTACTGATTATTAATATAATAAGCTGGCAATTTAGATTAAAATGCACTTTATGGTATAAAATTGCTAATCATATTGCCATTGACAATCACTGCAAATCGATTGTTTGCTCGTGTTTTATATTGTTTGAAAATAAATATTGTTTGTAATCACATTTCAAGAACAATCAAGGTTACTGATTGTACTGTTTTAAAATTGTATAGAAATACATTTGTAAGTAAAATTTGGAAATTTCAAATACTTGGACAAAAAGCATAAGTATAATGCATCATTTTCCCCATATGTTTTGTATATTAAAGATACGTTTCCTTGTGTTACCATGACCTTGCAATGCAAAAACAAATGTCCTAAGAGTAAAAACCAACATATGCCCGTAGCACACACTCATTCCCCACACCCCCACAAATATTGTGAACAACATCTTAGTTTGATATCCTTAGAAAACAAAGAAGCAATATCTTGTTACTTCTATTGAAGACATATTGTTTATGATCTTTGTCCCCACTACTAGCTTGTTATGCATAAAATTGCTTTTGTGCTGTATGTATAAAATACTGAAATTTTGTATTTGCGTGGAGGTTATGAACCATGCCACCATACTAGCTTCAGGATAGGTTTTAAAACAAGCAGCTGAGGGGATTGTGTTACTAGACTTGGCTGCAATACCTATGATTGAGAAGAGAAAGCTCCTCTTCTGGACTGGCCTGAACTGTCATGTCCTTTGTAGCCAGGTAGCTAATATTCACAATTAAAGTTGGCAAAGACATATTGGGAACAAAAAGAACTGAGGGTAGCGAAGCAAAAAAATTAGTCTGATGGATGATTTAAATGTTAATTAAGATCTGTCTTCACTTAGTGGATCCTCAATCATGATGTGTACCACTAACTCTGCGAAATAAGGTGACTTCAGAACAGACAGCTCACAACTGTGATTCCATGAGCACTGTGTTGTCACCTACAACAGGACATGACAATCTGACCTAATAATTTAATATATCCCTCACTTCACCATCATCATTCAGCTGGGGGCCTATTCCTTGTCCAGTGAAGAATGTAGTTAAGCAGAGAATAATTATGGAGCCCAGAATGTTAGTGAAGGCAAAGTAATTTGCAGTTATCTTCAGACAGAAGTGCAGAGTGATTGAACCATCTCTACCTCTTCTGAGGCTTCCGTTATCACAGATATTGGTCTCTAGACAAATCAGTACTCACCATGTGGTATCAAGAAAAGGCTGAAGGCATTGGGCACAGTCAGCACTGAGATCAACACACCCTGCCCGTAATACTGAAGACGTCTGCTCCAGAGCTAGCTGCGCCTCGAGCCAGTAGCTACAGCAGTTGAAATTAACCAACTACCATCCTATCAGTCAACAGCGAAGGTTTTATTGACCATGCTGTCAAGTGGTATTTGTGTAGTTGTTCATTTCTGTTCCATCATGACTACTCAGCTCCAGCTCTCATCATAACAGTGGTCCAAAAATAGATAGTGCTGAATTTTATTGATGACATGAAAAGTCCCTTGTCATCAAGGCACGAATTGATGCCTTGGGAACTGACAAGGAACACCCACAGGCTAGGATCATACCTCGGGCAAAGAAAGATGGAGACTAAACATCTTGGCCTCAGGACTTTGCTGCAGGAGTTGCTCAGAGCAGTCCTTGCCTCCATGACGTAAGCTAATGATTACAAAGCATTCACTACTATTCATGATTCCTTGCACTGATGCAGCCCATGCCTATATGAAGCAGAACCTGATTAATCTTTGGGTTTGGGCTGATAAATAGCATGAAAAACCTAAGCTGTACAATTGCCAAGCAATAATCATCTGCAACATGAGATTAACCATCTTTTCTTGATGTAAAATGGCACCCTAGCACGACCATCTTGCAGATCAGAATAGGCTTTAAAATAATTTGATCAGCCATACAAATATGCAGAACTACAAAAGTGGGTCACAAACAGATTATTTTATGCTGCGTCACTCACCAAAGCCTTTCCACTGTCTATAGGTCACAAGTTCACAATATTATAATGAACTCATTCAGGAAAGGGAAGAGTATATTGAGTAGTGCCCGACTCTCAACATCCATCACGTGCAGCCTGCTTAATCTGCACATCGTTCACTACCTCAAACATTCATTTTCTCCATCCTACTGCACAGTGGCAGCAATATGTGCCATCAAGAAGATGCACTACAGGAACTCACCAAAGGTTTTTTGACAGGATGTACTCGACCATTGCTTCTACTGCCTAAAAGGACAAGCGTAGCAACTTGGAATGTCACCACCATAAGTTTCCCTCTAAGTGTCACACCGTCTCAAATATATATCACTCAAGTTGTTTCATGGGAATAAAACTTGGAACTGTCTCCTTAATAAAACTATGATTTTATTTAAATTAAGCTGCAATGATTAAAAAAAACTCAGCTGCCTTGAGGGCAATTGGGGTGGGCAACAAATGTTGCTTTTGCCCATGCTATCCATATCCCAAAAAAAAAGTGAAATCTTTGTGGGCACCTAACACCTAAAATAAATGGTTAGCACTGCAGTGTGACAGCACCAGGGACGTGGGTTCAATTCCAGCCTGTGTGAAGTTTGCACATTCTCCCCATGTCTGTGTGGGTTTCCTCTGGTTTCCTCCCAACATCCAAAGATGTGCTGGTTAGGTGAACTGGCCATGGTAAATTGCCCCTAGTGTCCAGTGATGTGCAGGTTAGGTGGATTAGCCGTGGGAAGTTTAGGGTTACAGGGATAGGGTAAAGGGTGGGTCTGGGGGGATGCTGTTTGGAGGATTGGTGTAGACTTGATGGGCTAAAGGATCTGTTTCCATGCTAGGGATTCTCAATAATCTATGAAAAATAAATGTTATCCAACTTATCGCTTTGTAATGACTTTGGATTTTCAAATCTGAGGATTAGCTGAGTAAATCTTGATATCATTGCTGAGTGTTGTTTGCATCCAATCTCTACTTTTAACTTCCTGAGTTTGTCAAACAGTGAGTGCACTAATGGATTTTTACCCCTTCAGCTTGAAGTGCTGAAACTAATTGTAGCACCTTTACTATCAGCCACCTCTAAAAGTAGGAAGAAATTAAACAAGATTTTTCTCTTATCTAACGGTCAGATATGTTATGCATAAACTAAATGGCTCACAGCAAAGAATAAAATGTATATTTTAGAAGTAAGATTCTGAGTATAAATCAATCATGCATTAGGTATGTCGAGATTTTTTAAAAAATATTAAGAATGCAAAGGCAATCGATTACAATTTAAAAGAGCTGCTCAAAATCACCAGTCAATTTCCCAAAGGTTTCACTGCTAATCTATGTTTCATGCCAGCATTGTGAAATGTTGTGAAAGTCACTTCAATTTTAGTTTCAATTTTCAATGGTATTTATCACCCCAATTTAAACATGCAAAGTCATTTAGATTTTAAAGCCTGTCCTGTGCATGCAAATAACTGGCTTCTGAAGCCAGTTCCATTAATAAGAGTTAAATAAATATTTGTTACAGTTGTGTAAGTTTAGAATTTGACAGATTAAGCATCTGACTTGGTGAGTGACGTGCTGACTTTATAACTCAACTTTACAATGTATTTTCCATTCATTCACTGTACTTGCAGAACTATAATGGATGATATACTAACCACCCTGATTGCTTTCCCTGAGGAACAAAAACAGAAGTTGCTGGAAAAGCTCAGCAAGTCTGGTAGCATCTGTGAAGAAAAAATCAGTTAACGTTTCGGGTGCGGTGACTCTTCCTCAGAACTCGACCCTTCCTCCTATGGCTTTACTATCAAAAATAAAGAATAGTTACAAAGTTGAAGAACTTCTACTGTCAAACATACTTTGATATCATGTAGAACAATATACAAACTGGATTGTTTTTGGACGGTCCAGAAGCATATTAGAATAGACCCTTGTGCATCTCCTTTGGGGCTGGACTTCGATCTAGCACAGATTAATGCAATTCAATGCTGTCTTTGTCTACTGGCTACAAAAACCTAGAGTTTAATGAATTTAAGACGTCTTGGCTGGGCAAAGGAAATCTGAAATTTCCTTGACCATGTGTAGTTCCAGACAGGGTTGATTACAAACCTTCTGACTGGTGTTTCAGATCTGCATGAGCTGCTTCTTATCCTACTTCATCTAACCCAGTTAGAATACTCCTCTCTCACATAATTACCCATCATCCTTTTAAAGGCATGAATGCTATTTGCCTCAGCCATTCTGTGATTATATGTCTCACAATCTTACAACTGTGGGTAAAGAAGTTCTCCTAAATTCCGTTTTTTAGGTTTATTAGTTACTGTGTCAGGCCACCAATTAGCCTACTTTAACCGAGAGCAACATGATCCAATCTGGTGCTGAAACTGGATAATATCCTTGAGCAACAAAACACACAAAACTATAAAAAAAATTTAAAAATCAAAGTACTTATAAGGAAAATGAACATAATTGCAGGAAATCTAGATTCTTGTGTATAAATTTCAAAGTATTAAGATACTAAATCATACATGAAGTTTTATCTGTTGAAATTAATTCATAAGCATGGATGTTTTAAATAGATTTAAAGTATTGTTGTATTAAGGGCACTCGATGGAGAGTGATGGAAAACAGAATCCATTTGGTCAGTCTGTTTATTAGCACCAGCAAGTCAAATTACAATCAGATATTCCATCTGAGATAAAAAGCATATTAGTTGTATCTCTTAATACCTTTTTTTTTAAATTTGGATTATTTATTGTTTGAATAGGGTCATTTAAATCCATTTGGAGTGAGGATTATTAAAGTTATAAAACAAATAGAATGTGAATGCTTCTTATGCTTGCTTTCCAGTTGTGAAACATGCAGATATAAAATGGGATTTAGTGCCCAGTACATTAAGTGTGGGGGCTGATGACTTCAGGGATAATTAATTCATCCCCGCGCACCATTGAGAAGACTCATTACATTGAGCACCAATTGGTACTGAGGTGCTGTCTGTCAGCCTCATCACTGACATTCTGCTTTGTCAGAGGATGCTGGTGAGTTGAAGAGTGGCATCTTGGAGACGTGGAAAACATTACTGGAATCCCAGGCAGAACAGGCATGAAGAACAGGTACAGTTTCTTTTGAGAAAAGTGTATTATGGGCTTGGAGCCCTGAGTGAGGAGGAGCCAGGCGTGTCAGGAACAAGGCAGTGGGGGTGGCTTTTGCTAGCCAACTCAACCCCTATTCCTGCCCCTACATCTCTAGACTGGGGCAAATTGAACCCATCTGCTCCCCTAAACCAGCAAGCAGGACAGTCTGGGTTCTGTTGGCAGATTTCCCCTCTGCTGTGAAGGCAGGTAAACAGGTCAGTGTGAGGCCTTTGAGCCTTAACTGGTGGTTGTGGAAAACATT